TTGTGCTACCACATTCATTGCAGAAACCCTAGTATAGAAGAGTGAAGACTAAATCCATCCCGTTTTAGGTAATATAATAGGTCTTTCCTCTACACCGATGAACAGTCTGATAAACTATCAAACTGTAAGTACTTTTGGAACATTATATAATAATAATAATACATTACAATCAGTGCAGCATCGATTTGGATTAAAACCTCATTCTCTCTCTAAAAAATTTCGGAATACTTTACACTAGATATAATGGATTTTTTTCTTTCAATCATCCTCTGAATGAGATCTCTGTATATGTCTCTAGTTACAATCCTATGAATTTCACATAAAGGAACAATACACATTATAATTTTATTTTTCTATTTTTGTGACGAAAACCTTTGATTAAATTGAATTTGTCATCGATTGTAAATATTATGAAACGTAATAAATTCGGTCAGATTAAGTTAGCTCGTCATAAGCCACATAAAGATCTATTGGTCTGTAGTGATACCAGTTAATCTAGTTTATCTAGATTTATGGTAGGTCATGAGCCACACTTATACCTATTGATCTGTAATGATACTAGATGATATTAAATCGTATGTAAATTTATAGTAAGTATCATGTAAGATGTCAACGCTTTTAAGGAATCTAAAAAGTACATGAAGCCCCATCTCTGAAACAGCTGTCGCCTTTTCAAATCATGAAGCTCACAATTATTTGAAGCGTATTTTGACAATGTAGGAGATTAATTTAAAAGATATTTGATGTGATCGTAACTTTTGCCATTTTGCAGGTGTTTAAGCTACCATTTCACCATTACTCACCGGTTCATATTTTTTATCATAACGTAGATTTTTGAGAGGTTTCTGCATATAATATTCTTATTCAAAATCCAATCGAACATCTACTATTGCGTTTTCTTCAATACTTGATCTAGTATCTAATAGATATGCAACTGTCTATTTGCGGCTAATCCCTTTGTTGCTTTTTAGATTCTTAATACATTGTTGGAAGAAATGAGATACGAGGTAATTGGCTTTACCGCTACTTGACTAAATTATGGTGAAATATATTTAAAATTTTATTTTTCACTAATTATTGATTTATTTGAACCAAAAAAACAAAAATATTTATAATATTCTGCAATTAACAAAGTTTATGACAAGGCAAAATACAGAAAGTAAAATAGGACTTGCAACTTATTTAGCGAATATTAAAGAAATTCTAATGAAATTTTAAGGAGCTCTTTCTACCATTTAATTAAATATATTTTTTTTTAATATATTAACATCAATGTCATAGTTTAGCTAACGTTCAAGCCAAATGTCATTTAAATGAATTCCGGAAATGGTAAAACATTTGCGTTTCTTTTTTTAAAATACTGAACTTAAATTTGCTGTGAGCACGAAATATTCAAATTTTTGTGCGTTTTATTTTTATAGTTTTTAATAAAGCCAAAAATGATTTGCTACAAATAACAATGAAATGGGGTTGAAATTTGATTTTTTGTACTTTATTGTTTTAAAAAAGTTTAATGCACACGCAAAACTCCATGAATCGTATAGAGTATAGTTTTTGAAAATGTTTTTTATGCTCGACATTAAAATGGTTTGAGTGAAATTGCTTTGCACAGCGAAAGCAATTTGAAATATTGACTTCATTTATTGTACTCAAGCCTTACGTTGTCGTATTTCTAGCAGCTCCTTGTATTGCTCTACCGACCCATCTTCGTGTTTCGACGTGAATGTTGACTTTGTAACAGTTTTGTCAGCCTCTTCTTTTTGGGAATCCCTTTTAGAACGCTTTGATTTCTTTATTTTGTCACGCACTCTTTTGCCTAAACGTGATTCAGCAAGCACTTTACTGACTTTGGAACTTTGTAAATACCGTGAGTGCCAAGACTGTAATATACACTTAGGTTATATATATGGTTTATAAATTATTTTACTAAAAGAATGCACTTACTTCTTCTGATCCTTTATCTCTTTCATCACCACTTGAATCAAGAGATATAATATCCATATCCTTTTGCTCATCCTTTGATTTGTCTACATCAACCGATTTACAATCATTTACAAATATCAGTTGTGGTTTTATATCCTCATCTAAATGTTCAATCATTTCGGTTTCTAAATCGCCACCCTCTATAGATATAATATCATCATTTTGATCATCTTCATCGGTATCAACATTTTCGATCTTACAACTTTTGCTTGAAGATTTTGAATATTCTAATGATTCATTTGTTGTCTCTGCTGACTTCTCAGCAATGGATTCTTCATAATTTTGTTCACTTCTAACATCATTTTCTGTTAGATCTTTATTTTTAGTAAGTTCTGGCTCCTCATCAGCGATGATTTGCACCTTGTCGGTGTCGATTTCGTCATCTACAACTGTTTGTAGATCCACGATAAGATTTGTATTCTGATTAATTTCTGTAGTAAGCTCTACTGACTGATCTTCAGTACAACTTAGAGTTTCTTTTACTGCAACTTGTTTAGGATTTTCAGTTTCACCTTCTGTAATTTCACCTTCTTCTATTTCAGCATCTACTTCATCTACTTTTTTGTTTATTTCTTGCTTCCCTTCATCATCATTATTAACGCGATTAACAGGTTTATCAGTTTCTAAATCGGAACTATCACTTATAAGCAATGTTTCTGGTTCAGCAACAATGGGAATTACATCAGGAGATATTGAACGTGAACGGCGTTCTTTCTTTAATTCACTATTACCAAATGATTTCTTTTCAAAAGATTTTCCATTGGTAGCATTTTCCTTTTTCTTTTCCACATTTTCCATTACTTGTGTTCTATAGTTACGTTTCAATTTGATTTTTGTGCTGGACCCCTGTGCTCTGCCATCAGTATTTTCAACATCATTCGCTACAACGGTTCCGTTGGATTTAGACTTTTTAGATGATGTTGCTGTAACCGATGAGCTATTTGAATGCTGAGAGTTACTGGAACCACTTGATTTTCTTTTACGTTCAATACGATTAACTAACCGTTCATTGGATTTGCTTTTAGTAGCTTCAGTTTCAGACTCATCCTCGGAATTAACTTCGATTTTTGTAACGGGCTCTAAAGCTAACTGCGAACGTATTGCCCTAGCACGTGCTTGCAATTCTAACAATTCCAAGACACTGATTTGTCCTTGATCTATAAAAGAATTAAAACTTTTCATGTACTTTACTAAAACTTATTTAATAAAGATATAAAATTTTGCATTAGAAGCCACAATTCTTAAATACTTAAAACCAAGCAAATAAGCTCACCAAAACGCTTTGCCTGATATATAATCATTATTAATTTTAAAGAGCTTTTTTTCACCGCTCACTTTTAAAACAAAAATGTTGGTTTAATAGAAAACCCTTTCAAATGACAGTTGTCATCCTAGATAACTGTCATATTTTTTAAAATTCAGAATAGTTAATCTCAAAATTTTATATTGAATAAATATTTATATAAACTGTTAAAATTTTCATCAATCAAATTTGAAATTCTACTTACTCTCATTAGCTTCGGGTAATGTTTTTGTGGTCAAATTCCTAGTTCCTGTCGTTTTCTTTTTGACTGCAAATATTAGAACTTTGTTAACTTCAAAATTTGATATAATATAAATTATCGTAATTCAAAATGTCGATTAGATACGCAAATCCCTGCCCTAAATTTGATGTTTTTCTTGATGGACGTGTTGCGGTGGAAAATGAGTTACAAGCATTCACAAGAGCATGTCACGTCTACAATAAGGAAAATCGACGCAGAGGATATATAAAGCGACGCAAAACCAAGCGTCGTTACTACAAACTTGGTCTTGTTGCAGAAATAGAGACCGAAACTACCAATGATCAAATAGATAGTCTGCTTATGGTTGGTGTACGTACTTTTTATTTTGATGCATTCAGAAATAGGCCAGAGAATGTCCAACAAATGATTCAACGTACTAAGATTCAGATTGAACAATATAGGTTAGGTGAGACTGCCTCACTATTGGTAACAAGTTTAGCTATTACCATTAATGGTGAGAATTGTGTTACTGGACGTATGCGTAATAACTGCACTGATCACTTAAAACGTGGCGAAATAGTTAGCTTAACCTCTGACGAACGTTACAAATACTGCTCCTATAGAGAAATCGCTTATGTGTCGAATTTATCATTTTATTTAAGCAGATTAAGTTTAAATGATGAAATACAAATTGGACCAAGTTTAAAAGGGCCAATTGTTAAAAAGTTAACTGAAACGATAGCAATACTAGTGGAGGTAGCAGGACCGCTACACTCTTATATGGATGTAGAGCTACCAAGTATTGCTTATACCCTGAGTGCTGATGAGATTCCACATATGTTTGCTGAAGATTTGGGTATTGCTATAAACGCCAATGTTAATTATATAGTTGTACCCAAATTACGTAACAAAAAATATTTAATGATCTTACGTTCTTACATACCCGAAGAATATGCCTTAAACATAATTGGCGTACTAGATTTCGAATACATAAGAGATAATATGTGTGATATCAGAGGTATATTAAAACAATTGGATTATCTTTGGATACCTGATATGTTCAGTATAAGTCATACTATGCAAAGATTTGTTTTTGATGAAGTAATTCCGATCGCTAAATCAATACGTAAACCAATTATCGGTACTATTCATATGGAACGTCGTATTGATTTCAATAACTTTGAAAATCACTACTTCTTGTGGAAGATAGATACCATATTTATAGAACGAAGTATTACTTGCAAAAAATATCCGCTAATAGTGAAAAAACTACTTCCTCTATATGATTATCGTAAGATAACTGTAGATAAGTGTTCTATTGTCAAAGAAATACTAACTGCATATGATACAGTTGTGAATTTCATAATACGCACTATATGCTCAGTGGAGTGTCAAGCTATTTTTGTGCACGCAACATGTGAACCAGCAGCTCTAGCTTTAGGTAGAGTTGAAATTTACTGTCCAGTTTTCGTTGTAATGCAAGTAGACGAAGCGGATCCATTTGATGTTAGCAGAAAACACAGTTTAGCTCGAGCTATACAACTACGACGAAACCTTCAACCGCTTTTGTATACGGAAGAAATGAACAAATGTGATTTTACTGCTGTGGAGTATGGCATAGACTATGCACGTAATAAGGACTTACTACATACAGGAGATTTCATAATAACAATCGAAGTTGCCAAATTACCTGAAGAAGAAGAAGAAGAGGAAATAGGAGAAGGAGAGGATGGTGTTATACTTCGTGCAACATTTTTGCCACCAATCAAGAAATACGAACAATTTAAATTTTCATAAAGCATTTATATATTATTATACTAACAAAATTTTGTGAGTGTAAAATTGATAATAGTTTTCGATTTCCAAAGTGAATGTTAAAGTGAAAATCTAATCAATTTTCTTAAACAAAATTTTGTGAGTGCAAAATTTAAAATAGTCTTTGATTTCCAAAGTAAATGTTAAAGTGAAAATGTAACTAATTTTCTAAATAAAAAAAATTCTAACAAAACAAAAATATTGTATGCTAACTATACAAATATTTATTAAGTAAAAGTATATTTTTATATATATAAATCTTAATAAAAAATTATTATTAAATTAAAATGGCATTTACCTGTAGATTTTGAATCATCAATTTCACTGTCAGAAGAAATTTCTTCTAATGATATATGTTCTATAATTACAAAGTATAATTATTCAAAAATTGTATGAATACTAAAAATAAATTGTTTGTACCTTCTTTATGCTCAACATCTGAATCACTTGATGATTCTGTATCAGTTGGACATTTACTTGCATTTATAATTGAGAGTAGACGCTTTGTAGATATGCACAGCAATTCATTAAGACATGCTTCTTCAATATCTTCCATACTTTTTTTCTAAAATTTTAATAAATATTTTAAAGTAGGACTTTAATTATTTTGATGTTATTGTAATATACCTTTAAAAACTCCGGTGCTAAGTTTGTTATTGTCTTAGGTTTTAGTGTTCCAAAAATTTGTTTTACCAATTCCAGTCGGTCATCAATAAAGTGCGCCATAGTATGTATAGTACGGTCTTCCTCTGTTTTTTCTTTTTTCACTTTAATGGGTTTCGGTATTTTTATCAATTTATTGCTAGTTTTCTTCTTGGAATTTTGCATGTTGCTTCTTTATACACTAAATTATAACTAAAATACAAATAACTTACACAAGTGGTATTAAAATTCAACAAACATTGCCAGCTGATTTTGAAGTTAGTTTTACGTTGAAAATAGGGTTGCCATCCCTAATTAAAATTAAAGAAAGCATCTGAAAATGTTACGAATACGTAATAAAACAATTTTGACACATCAAATAGGTTACGTTAAAAATATTTTTCGAGATTTTATTAATATTGAGATTAAGCATGATATAGACGATGAAATTTGTTTGCAAACCAAATTTGCAAACCGAATATGCGCTTTGCTATACACTTTGAAACAAGGTTGGCAAACTTCATTTTGATTTATTTTCTACAGCGTTCATATCAACAGCGGAGCAAGTACAGAGTGCAAAACAATAATCGAAACTGAAGAAATTGAGGTAATGGTAATAGCAATATATTATTAAGATTATTATATAAATATTTCATATTTCTTGGAATTAAACACGATTTATTAAAGATTGTTTTTGTTAATGCAGTTTACTATACTACAGTGTAATTTATTTTTAGCGAGCAACAATGGAAAGTGAAGCAACTAGTTTGCAAACCAAATTTTGGTTTGCAAACTTGAGTATAGACGATGCAATTTGATAGCCAGCAAACCTTGTTTGCAAACAAATTTCATCGTCTATATCATGCTTTAGTTAAAAACTTAGCTTAATTTTTTTTATGTCCTAATTAGAAATAAACATATGTACTTTCTAATCATAAATTATACTTTTTTAGATTTGATATATTTTAGTTTTAAAATGATTTCGCTCATGAATACATAAGCTGTTTTTCATGATTTAAAGTGAGAATAAAAAAATATATTTCAGTTGTTATATTCGGTAAATAATCATATAAAATAACACTTCTCGGTAAGTCAACAAAGTAAGCTTTAAATCAGTTGTCTTCTTACCTAGATTTATTTATATTATTCTAAATATTATTATTATATATAATACTATTTAAAATGTATAGTTTAAAATTTTTGTATATACAGATATAGACAATTCAATTGCTTAAAGTTATTCAGCTTATAATATAATAACTAAAAAACTTATATATATATATATATATATATAGTATTGATTAAACTTATTTTAAAAATTTAAACTGAATCATTTAAAAAAAATTTGAAAAGCTGTTCGATTTTCTTTGTTTGATTATCAGTCAATTATCAATTATTGAATAATTAATCAGATTGTCATCGTTATGATTACAGTCAAACATGAAAAGAAATATATATAAAAAGTTCAGATTATCTAAAGAAATGCAGTAGTATAAAATATTTTACTTAGTTCAAAAATACAATGTTATGGTTTAACAAACAGTTAAACATATGCAGTACATATGCAGATGTACTCAAAATTTTGGTTATTTAGGTTAGTTTGATAAATATGTCGCATAAGCTCGGTTTTGTTTTTAATTTTTGTTTTTATAATGAAACTCGTAAATGCAAATGCGAAACTTTGCAGTAATATTTTGTTTTCTATATCGCTATACAATTATATCACATTTTGCAAATCATAATTTTGGCTATAAAATTTTTGTATGAATTCGAAAAGTAATATCAGTTTAATTTTTGGAAAACCAAATGAGCAGAAATACAAATAAAATTAAGATTGTTTATGCTTGTGAGTACGTTGTTATATATATTGCAATTAAAATTTAGGATTGTGCATGTTTTGCATTAGAAGTATGTTATGAAGAAATTGTATATTATTATAACAAAATATATTTATTTCAACATAACAAAGCAAGCTTAAACAGAATAAAAAACTATATTACGTCACGGATGTCAGAAGCTTCATAAGAGTCCGCATTGTTGCAAATATTATAACAACCCTGTTAAATGAAAGCAGCTGATTGCGCGTTTCATACAAAATATATAAAGTTAAAAATTTTTTATTTGTGCAATACTTTTCTATATAAGAAATTTAAAGGTAAACAAATTTAACTTATTTTGCTTTAAGTATTAAATAATATTTGTATGCGTTATATCAACAATTACGTGTATATTTTATCAGTAATCAAAAACTAGATTTTAACTGTGGTTTTGACAAAATGACTGTCAGATAACTTTCAGTCAGCGATCGACTGTCAAAACGGCTGCAGTTGGTCGTGGTTGCCGCGTATGTATTTTCATCGTGAGTAAATAAAAAAAAAAAGAAAGAAATGTAATTTTTTGTAATATTCTATAGTGCTCACGATAATAATGTTAAAGTAATCGAAACTCCTGACTATAAAAACTCGATAATTTATTTTTTTCGGCTAAAATTGGCTTTTCGTAAAATATACAAAAAAAAAAAAATCAAAAGTTTTGTTAAATAATGGGAGGCACTTCAAACGGCAGCACTTCACTCGATATACAATTGAACGGGAGCACAAGCAGTCTACTTCCAAAAGACACACGTAAAGATGAAGATCCCACGTTATACTTTAAGAAAATTGCTAGTGCCTTTTTCTATGGCATGGCATCATTCATGATAACAGTAGTAAATAAGACAGTGTTGACGTCCTATCATTTTCCATCGTTCCTATTTTTAAGTGTAGGCCAACTGACGGCAAGTGTTGTCGTGCTTGGCTTAGGAAAACGCTTAAAATTTATATCATATCCACCGTTAGCTCGAAACACATTTATGAAAATATTTCCTTTGCCATTAATATTTCTTGGAAATATGATGTTCGGTTTAGGAGGAACACAAGCACTCAGTTTGCCTATGTTTGCTGCATTACGACGCTTCTCGATATTGATGACAATGTTGCTGGAGTTGAAAATTCTTAGTATAAGACCAACTACTGCTGTGCAGATAAGTGTCTATGCCATGATTGGAGGTGCATTACTCGCAGCATCTGATGATTTATCTTTCAATATGAAAGGCTACACTTTTGTTATGATAACAAATGCTTTTACTGCTGCAAATGGTGTATTTGTTAAAAAGAAGTTGGATACATCAGAAATTGGCAAAAATGGACTTATGTATTATAATTCATTGTTTATGCTTTTGCCAGCATTTATAGTCACAATTTTTACTGGAGATTTAAAGAGTTCTATGGCATTTGCTAGCTGGAACGATCCTTTCTTTTTGGTACAATTCTTGATGAGTTGTTTTATGGGCTTCATTTTATCGTACAGCACCATTATATGCACGCAGTACAATTCAGCGTTGACTACGACAATTGTTGGTTGTCTAAAGAATATCTGTGTAACATATTTGGGTATGTTTATCGGTGGAGATTATGTATTCTCGTGGCTAAATTGCATTGGCATAAATATAAGTGTCTTCGCTAGTCTTTTATATACATACGTCACGTTCAGACGAAAACAAACTCCTGACAAGGAACAACTAATACCGACAACGAAAGGAGAAGCTGTATAACACAAATTCATATTCAAAAAAAAAATGAATGAATAAAATTAGACAAAATTAACTTAATTATTTTGTTTAGTTATAATGTTTAAACGTTTTAACATAAGTCTGTATAAGTATAATTAATTTTTTTATTTATTAGTGTTTCGAAGTAGTTAAAAATGTGCATTATCATGTACTATAAAATGCAATGAATTTACTTATTTTTGTATTATTAATTATTTACTCTACAAAAAAAAATGTACCAAAGCCATATATTTATATATATATGAATGTGTATATATCAATGTATATACTTATGTTTATTTAAAAAAATGATGTAAAATATTTTATGTACGAAAACAATGTCCTCTTCATTTATTTCCATTTTATAATTGCAAATACATAATTTTTAATGTGTCATAATACTACAAATTTTAAAGTAGCAATTTAAGTAAATATTAAAATAGTTTCAAACAATTTGCTGATAATAAAAATAGTTTAATGTAAATGTATGTATATTGTTATATGCGCGTTTTTATTGTACATATAGATTATATAAATTTCGAGATGTATTAATACTGAAATAGTTTTAATGATAATTTCTTTAGCTTCTAAAGCTTAATATTATAAATAAATAATTTTATATATATTAATTTGGTGGTTTCATTAATAAAGAAAAAATGTGAATTTTGTGTAAGAATTGAAAAATGTGCCTGAATTGTAGTTCACTAATATATAAAGTGCATCCATTTATATTCTCGTTGTTGTTGATATTTTCTTTAGGTCCCAGACGAAAGTCGTGGACGGTAGTTGGTTGTTTGTACAAGTGTCTACAGATCATAGTGATACAAGCTACGTTTTGAATACACTGTAATCAGAGCTAATGATGTTAGTGTGGAGGCATCTAAATATTTATTAACGTCATTGAAGTCATTGAAGTTCTTTATAATGTGTGGGCAGAGATGATGATATCAAATTAAATATTTAGTTCTGGTCTCAATTTGTGTCTTAGCTTTTTGTTTATTACAAGCTAACGGCTTGACAAAACCCTATACAACAACCTCTTAAAAGAACGTACAATAAAAAGCACTAACTCGCAAAGGAATCAAGATGAAATAACAAACCAAGCAAATATTTCTATAACGAACGCTGCATATAAAACACATTGCAATAAGAAAAGGTCTTGTCACATTATCTTTTATTATATTGAGACTCTATTGTATTTACTGTTGTGTGTGTATTACAGACTAGAATTAAATATATCAATGCGTATTATTGGTGTTACCTATCATGTATCAAAAAAATATCAGTTTAACAAAGAACTGTATTGCAGCAATAAAGATGTATTCAAATGTCCTGTCTTCAAAACTATTTAACCAATAAGTCCATTATATTTTTTAAGTTTATTTTCCATTAGCCAAGTGTTTGTCCACAAATTTATTTTAGTAACTTATCATACTCAGCAATATCTCTCCATTGTATTCGAATAGCATCTGTAAAAATTGGGGTTTGACAATATAATATATAGTGATTATGGTCTAGCTCAGAGCGTTATATAACTATAAAATTTACGTTTTTATTTTGCTTAATAGAGAAGATGGAAAAATGTTACAAAGCTAGTTAGTGAGATGTATTTATTTTTCTAAGAATAAACTAATTGCTTTTTATTATTGAAATCCTTTGATTTTATATCCAAGCCAAAAGTGTCGTTTTATAAAAATTTTACTTAACATTCCAAAAAATATATAAAAAAATATAATTATTTGATTTAATTATTCTACAGCTGGTTTATGATTGGTTCTAATATAACACAGTTTATAACACAGTAATGAACTTTTACGGCAAATCAACAAAAACTCCAAATTAGAACATACAAGCCAAGTATGGCTTTACGTCAGATGGCTAATGAACACTGATTCTCATCTTCAAATTACGGGTACGAGTTCAACTCTTGGTACTTGTAGGGTTGAACTCAAAAAATTATTTACGAATAAATAGATATTAGAAAATAATTCCAAGACCACTGATGATGGGTATTTAGCAATACTTGAAACTGCTGTAAAGTCAGTCGAAAATTCAACTAATTAAAATAATAAATATCTCTATTGAAAACAATAGCTTAACATATATTAAGAATTTAGTTTCTTTCGTTAAAATTGACGTTAAAAATTAAAAAAAAAAATATGAAAAATTTATTGGGATAAAATTAACAAAACTTCATTTTTCTATATATAAAAAAAGAAAGGTTTAAATTCTTTTTCCCATATAATATTATATTACAGGGTACTACCTTTACAACCTTTACATACAATTCTTCAAAAGCTACATTCTTTAAGACTTGCAGTCTTCAAAGGCTACATTCTTTAAGACTTGCACTCTTCATAGAATATCTTCTTCAAGACTTGCACTCTTCAAACCTTCCTTAAGACTTACAGTCTTCAAAGACTACCTTCTTTAAGAGCTGCATTCTTTAAGACATTTCTTTCTAACTTGTTTTCTTTCTAACTTATTTTCTATCTAACTTATTTTCTTTCTGATCTGTTTTCTTTAAGACTTGTTTTTTTAACGACCGGCTTTCCTTTCGTTAATGTCTTTCAGTTAACGATATTAAGGATTCTAGCGGGTTTATAAGCATTGATGATGGTGTTTCACTTAAAAATATATAAAATTTATTCTGAAGTTAACTTTACGTATAGCAGTAAAATTTTTTTAAATAATTCATTTTTATATGTATAATTCTGTTTGTTGTATTCTAGTATCTATAAACTTAACCATGACTTACACTAAACTAATGCCGTAAAAATACTAGCTGACTCAACTTCTGCTTGACTAAAAAAAAAATTGAAATTTATGCAAAAATTACGTAGTTTTTCAATAAAATTAAAATTTAATAAAAATTTTATTGTAAGCAAATTATAGTAAGCAAAAAAATCTTGAAGCAGAAAGACAAACTTGGGATATCTTAATAATAACTGCTGAGTTGATTACAAAATGACATGATATATCATTTTGTTTTCCTACTATATTCTATTTTTATTATGTACTATAGTTTATATATTGTTACTATATATCTTACTATATTCAGATATATGTATACTAAACATATTTTAATATTTTTTCGGCTTTATTGGAATGGTTATTTTTGGTTATACATTTACAGGTTTCTATTGGGTTTCTTATTTTATTGGTGTGCAAAAAAGATATAAAACCTCTTTAGATTCTTCAATAACATAAATGGGTTTAGTGATAGCCGTACAGTATTTATTTTTATATCTGTGAAATATTTGAACGCTCATCAGGAAGGATTACATATTTGGATTTTATCATAAAGCGCTCACTATAAAAAATATTCAAATATCAGAAAGTAATAATTTAAGAAAAAAGAATGATATTTTAATATGAACTCTGTTCAGGTAAATTCCATATACTAATATTATTTTTATAGCCATATAATGGCGGTTCGGGCTACAAAAGGTGTTGGGAGTCATCTAGTTCTGGAGCGTGTTGTGATAACATTGCAGTGCACTTATTAAAGTTAATGACTTATAAAGAGTGCTCGAGCAAAATTATTATTTTATTTTTAAGATATA